AACATCACCACGAGGACAATAAAATTGATATCCCTTGGATTTTTCTGGTAATTAATGAAGAAACCACTGATTGCTCTTGATTCTAGTTTCTTTTCTTGTGGATTATAAATTATTACTTTCGCTAGTCAGCCCCAAACATACTGGTTCCTTAACCTGGGTTTCCTTTCCGTCCATAGTTCAAAAGGTGTCTTAAGAACTGCCTTACTAGAAACCTAGTTTAACAAATACACTACGGTCTTTAAAGCATGCATCCATAATGATTTGGGTAAGGATGAATTGCTTAACATACTCCTAACCATATCCATTGAAGTAAGATTCCGCCTTTCTGCAACATCGTTTTGTTGCGGTGTTCCTGACATAGTGTATTGAGCACATATACCATGAATTTCTAAGAACTTAGCAAATGGACCAGGGCACTGTCCACTTTCATCATATTTTCCATTATAGTCACCACCTCTGTCAGAATTGGCAATTTTTCACCTTTCTTTCTAATTGCCTCTCAACTTCATTGATAAACACATCTAGGGTATCTACCGATTAAGACTTTTCATGTAGCAAGTAAATATGTCTGTAATGTGAAAATAATCGATAAAGGAAATGAAATACTTTCTCCACCAAGTGATGAAACATCAAAAGGCCCACAAATATCAGAGTATATTATTTCAAAGAGATGTGAGCGTCTTGTGGCTGCTTTCTTAAGTCTATGTTTTGTGTGCTTTCCCTTAATACACTCAACAAAAATTCCAAGTTCAGTAAATTGTAAATTAGGAATCGTGTTATTCTTTGATAACCTTTCCATCCTTTATTTGGATATGTGACCCCAACGTCTATTCCACAAGTAAGCAGAGGATTCATCATACAAACCACGTTTAAAACCAACATTATCTACCGATTGAGACTTTTCATGTAGCAAGTAAATATGTCCATTACGTGAAAAATCATTGATAAGAAAATGAAATACTTTTCTCCACGAAGTGATGAAACATCATAAGGCCTACAAATATGAGTGTGTATTATTTCAAAGAGTTGTATGCTTCTTGTGGCTGCTTTCTTAAGTGTGTGTTTGGTGTGCTTTCTCTTAATACACTCAACATAAATTTCAAGTTCAGTAAAATGCAAATTAGGAATTATCTTATTCTTTGATAACCTTTCCATCATTTATTTGGATATGTGACCCCAACGTCTATGCCACAAGTAAGCAGAGGATCCATCATACAAATCACGTTTAGTACCAACAATATAATGCAAGGTCGAAAGAGGCTCATCATAAAGGGTATCATGATTTATTTTGTACAAACCATCACCAAGGGTACCAGAACCCAATTAGACATTCTATTTGAACAAACTAATAGAACCACTTACAGTGTTCCAAAAATACCTATCTTTATCGAGTTAAGAAACTGAATCCAAATTACAAGAAATAGAAGGAGCATAAAGAGTATTGATAAGGTCCAAATGATGACCAATATCTAAAACCAAACAATAAATCCCCACAGGTTCAACTAGAACTTTGGCTTGGTTTCTGGTATAGATGAATTTTCTATTTTGCGCTTATGGTTCGAGGCATAAGGGGTCACTGCATTAATTTGGAAACATGAATGCTACGATCATTTATTATAAGGAATTTTATTTGAAACATACTGAAGCACTAGCCTTACCCTTTCTTTCAAACCATGCCTTATGTTCAGGCAATCTTTCTGATAATGTTCGGCTCATTTACAGAAGCGACATATATCCTTACTTGGTTCCTTCTTGTGGATTTTGGCAGATGACTCATTGAGCTTTGCTATTCCTTGTTTGCCCTTTCCATTCTTGTTCTATGGTTTCTTTCCAGCTCCATTATAACCAACAAGATTGGGAGTATGATTTCCCAGTTTCTTATGCCTTGCTTCCTCTTGAATGAGCATGTTTGTAATTCATGCACATTCCATTTATCCATAAGAGTATTATAATGCACATGAAATGTGCCATACACAGAAGGTAAGGAATTAAAGATAAACATTACTGGGAAATTTTCATTCACTTCCATTCCCCAATTTTTTAGTCTTGCGGCAATGTTCGTCATTTTGATGATATGCTCATGCATGATTCAAGAACCATTAAACTTGAATTGAGTTTGTCCCTAATTGACCCCTTTAGGTTTCTGGTTTAGAGATTTATGTGATGTCTAAGAAATTCTATGTAATGGATTGAGAGAGGAAAAATCCTAGGGTTTCTTTATATAGACCCACCATTAGTGTATATTAGGAATTTACCTTTAATTAATTAATTAAAATAGGATTTTTTTATATATTAAACCATTAAGTGATAATTATATTTGGACCACATCATTACCTATGGGGTATGGGAATTGGCTTACAGTGGAGAGATGTTGATATTGGATATTATTCTGTGGGTTGACTATTGATGGGACTAGGAGGTCTTCAATGGAGTCGTTTATACAGAGAGAGCTACGAAAGTTGGTAAATTCCAGCAGAATGAATTCATTGGATACAACGTATATAAACTTGTTTGGGTTGTCGATATTTGGGTGTGAAACACCTATCATCTTGTTCATCTCTACTAACAAAGTCCGTAGTTACAGCGGGAAAGTGAACACTGAGGATGAAATTAACCGTTAGAATCTCACCATTAGAGATAGCAATGGTCGGGGTTTCTCTAATGCCAATCCCAACTCGGTGGCTTTAACCATTAAAAAATCCAGTAAAATACCTGATGACACATGAAAGTAATTATCCTAGAGCCCCACATTGTGACCCAAAGTGCATACTTTTTCCAACAGTCTTGTCATAATACATTGAATTATTGCTATGATGGTTACAAGTGCGTTATAGAAACACTAGAATTTCTTTTATACGATTGATACACTTTTGGTAGGATATTGTGCATTTTCAGGTCAAAGCAGTCTAGCGAGCCAATTGGAAGCGATAGGGGACATCAAGACTAAGTTGCTGGATTCGGGATTCAAAGACTAGATACCTATGTAAAACGGCGCTCGAAGCGCAGTATTCGTGAAGAAATTAGGCACCATTTTAGGGAACTCATTCACTTTGTCAAGAAGTTATCCCAAAGCATCCTGGTTCACTTGACACGTGTTTGGAGCGCTCTGATAGGCTGAATGAAACCAAGAGGTAAGTTTTTCTCCTCACAATTAAAGACTAATCGAAGATCTATAAATATGGTCATAGAGGTAGAGTTCGAAAAGGAGGAGACGAGAGGTCAGAGAAGGATAATTACTCTGTCGACAAAGCAACCCTCCTGACTTAGAATGAGACCACATTATGAGGGAGAATAGGCACCCAAAACGGCGCCCCTGTGCTATTTCCTCTATTATAGGCGCTTATCCTAGTGGGCCTCCTGGTGTCTTCATTTCTATCGATGAACACCCAGGAACCCCTCCCCATGGCTAGCTAAGTTCCTTAGTTCCATAGGTATGTGAACCCTAGGGGATCTAATCATGTAAAATCGGTGATTTGGTTTAATAAGATTGTTTGATTTTCATATGTTCGATGCTTGATTTCCTATATTTTGTTATTTGTTGATTTAAATGATTTCTTAGTCGACCTAGTACTCCTTCGAGGTGCAAGGATCAAAATCCTAGTTTTTTAGGATGATATAGAAATAGTAGTCCTACTCAATCGAACCTCGTTCGATCAAATGGCATGACATCTCAATGGAGAAATCTGAAGGGTTCTTCTCACCCATCAGCTCGGGTAAATGCTTCCACACAAGGTGGGATCTAACAAAATAAGAAATTGGCAGCTCGTATGCTACCGATGATCGAGGGCCGTTGTTAGGAGACATATGAGAAGCTTGCCTATGCAACACCTTCCTTATCTAATCTCTCACTCGTCCAACGTAGTGTAGATTAATTTAGCTGCATCGCTTTACTTTTCAAACTCTTACATTCTGCAAAACTGGAGGCACCACTACCTCCACAACTTGCTCTCTTCTTCAATAGAACCGTACTTCCCTTTTGGAGTAAGAGTTCTGTGAGAGGCCCGTGAGAATACTATCCTGGCATTAGAGTCAGGTAAATTTGGTAGCGATACTACAATTGGCGATCAATACCTATTGGATTTAGACGTGAAAACCCAACCCAAAAAAACTCAACGGGTATCCCATGATTGCACGCGTACTTATGATTTCACAAATATAACCATACATTAGTTCTTGTAACACCCACTTCTTAATGTTATCAAAATTTTCTTACAAATATATCTTCATAAAGACCACCAACATTCATAAATTCTCCATATTATTAGATTTATATTGTCACAAAAACTTATAACATAAATTATTTGTATTGTTCATGTTAGACACAAAATTACGTCGATTTGGTTTAGGGGTGTGTGTCAGGTGTCATAAAGACTAATAACCTTGTTGCTTAGAATGGAATAGGTTGGCTACCTTATAAGCTAGGTTTGATATCTTTATATGAACTCTAAGTGAAAAGGGTGCCGTAAAATAATAATCTAGCAAGAAGAATTCTCCACTTGTACCCTGTAACACTCTGGATCTTTCTAGCGAGTTTATAGATTGGCAATTAAGACTTGATTGAAGGGGAATATGAGGAATTGGGAATATTAGAGGAAGAATTCTGAATTAAGCAGAATGAAGAAGAGAGAAAGTTGAAGAAGAGAGAAAGAGGAGAAGGGAGGAAATTGAAGAATACGGAGTGATTATTTTGTAATGTTTGTATGAACCCAAACAAATATGTACCATATAATGCATATATGTAGCAATCAACACATTATCAACACTATAAAATTCGCGCTGGTGTATTGACGATATTGAAGTATTTTTCAGTTGTGATAAACCAATGAAACAAAGAATGAAGATATTATTAGAACAAACGAGTCATATTTTTTTTTGAAATTAATGAAAGAAAACAGCTAGTTGACTAATTGAAAATTCAATAAAATAGTAAAAATCGAAGCAAGCCTTGGCTAGTTAGACCTTTAGTCTTCGATAAATTGGCATTAATGTCCCTAAGGTCTCTAAAACCTCCACTGGATTTGTTGCACAATATTCTTGTCAATCTGGAATGCTTTTGCGAGAATGTCAGTGGATATCTCAGGCTTGGATCCAAAGACAACATTGGCAATGGTACTAACTCCTGGATTTTGGCTACTCAAACCAGAAATTGCCACCGCATTCATATGCCCAATATTCCGTTGGAAGTGAACCAAGCCAACTGGGAACACAAATACATCTCCCTTTTGGAGGATTTTGGAGAAGAGGCGATTATCAGGATTTGATGTGACGAATCCAACTTCAAGAGATCCCTCAATGACCGTGAGAATTTCAGTGGCTCTAGGATGGTAATGTGGAGCAACGATGCCCCATGGAGCATAATCGATCCGGGCCATCGAGATTCCCAAAGTGTTGAGCCCTGGAATTTGAGCCACATTAACAAGGGTGGCAGCAGATCCAAATTGGTTGCCTGTGTTGCCAGGATTGTGGAGCCCGCTGAAGGAGAAGTCATTTGCCTGTACCCAAGCAGGATTTTTGCATGGGAACCCATTCAGTTTCACTGCAATCAAGAGGCAACCAAACCCAGTGATAAGATATGTATGATATGCTAATCAGTAAATATACTAAGTACCATATCTACATACATGGAATGGGAATTACACACCTTGGTTGTTAGTATCTGCCACGCAGAAGTCCTGAAGAGATGCTGGGTCAGCTGCAAATGTGAGATAACAGAACGCGAGCGCTAGCAATGGGCTCAACAGAAGGACTACTTGAATATTTGCCATCCCTAATAGCCGAACCGGTCTTAAAGTGAAATGATTATAAAAGCTTCACACAAAGAATCAAGAAAAGCTAGGATAGGTGAAGATTTGATCGATCGATGTTTAAGTATGCTTGTTGAGGGCTGTTTAAATAGAAGCTCTAATGGGTATATGGGTGTAAGGTTGATGGACTTAGTCTAGCCGGCAGCAATAAAAATAACTTCATCGTTATCTACGACGCCATCAGCCGTCCTTCAGTGATTAGCTGGAATTTCTGTAAGATTAATAATGAAAAACAGACTCATGCATATGTATTTAGGGATGGCAATTTACCCACCCATGGGTAATTTTGCCCAAACCCAAGTAGACCCATTTGTTATGGGTGGGTTTGGGTGATGTGTGTATGAGTTTGGGTTAGATATGGATATTATCTAAATGGGTATGGGTTGGATATGGATATCCATTTACTTGAGGGTGTCTTAACTACACATGCAAAAATTGGACTTATTTGTAAAACTTGAAAAATTTAGGTACCAAAATGTAAGACCAAAAAAATTTAGGTACCAAAACGTAATTTTCCATCGATATTTTGAGGACTTATATGCAAAAAAAATTAAATTTAGGTACTAAATATGCATATCTATTAAGTTTAGGTACCAAACTGTAATTTGTATTTGGGCATGGGTACAAACCCAAATCCAACCCAAAGTAAATGGGTATGGGTACAAACCCATCAAACTTTACCCATATCCATATATTTGGATTTCATACCCAACCCAATTGGGTTGGATAGTAAAATACCCATGGGTATGGGCAAAATTGCCATCCCTATATGTATTGTTGCATGTAGCAACAGTGCTTAATGATTATCCATTCCCAGGTTCGGCTGTTCATTCGAAAGGAAAAGGCCATGAAGCAGAACGCAATGGCGGTGCATGCTTGGCAATCAACGTCGATGAACTGAACTGGTCAACAGATTCTTCGATGCATGTAAGGTCCCAGTCTCACAAACATTCGATGAAGTTTGGGGGACCGAAATTAATACTGAACGAAACAACACACCTTGTACTCATTTCATTCGGCAATCAAAATAAACTCAATTAATATATGATATATATCAATTATCATGCATATATAGACTATCTTAAGCAACGTACAACTGAAGGTGTTCCAAATTTCTTTTTATCTTCTATGTAATTTCCTACCTTACTTCTAACTAGGGATGACCAAATCAACCTTGTCATAATCGGGCTGCTCCATTAGTACGATATTGTTCGCTTTTTGCCAAGCCTCCACAGTTTAAGTTTTTGGGTATCATAGAACCGAAGGGATTACAAAAAAAAAAAAAAAATGTGGAGAGAAGCTCTCGCCTCTCTCTTGGATCTCTACCGCCTCGTCGGCAGTAGCATCCTAGCGTTTGGTCTGGCGGTGATTCAGGCGGCGATCAGAAATCAGCATGGAGCATGGGGAAGTCGTTCCTCCACAACTCGCCCCAGAGGCGTGCAGTTCTATGCTAGAACGACGGTATCGGCAACAATGTTGGAGAAATCAACTAAAAATTCCCCGGTGATTTGCAACCGGGTGGAATTACCGAAACAGGGAAGGGGTGCTCAACGAAAGCGTTTGTTCTCCCCCGACGTGGAACTGCTTCCCAATCGGAAGAAAAAGCAAACTTGTATGATGTCAGGATGGAGGTTCTACTTGCCTTCATCGACTGAGGCAGAAGGGCTGAAGGAAAACGTCCAACAACCCTCTGAGCAATTTTGGAAGCCCCGTAAGGCCAGTCCTGAGCCCGGGTGCGCATTGACCAGGCCGGAACTTAGATCCCGAAGTGGGGCAAGTTCACAGTATAACTCATCGGCTAATATGCGATCGGAGGCACCTCGGGCTGATCAGATACACCAGCCAACCCCGGCACTGCCGTGGAAGGCTCCCGCACTGGCCATCATCTTATCGACGGTTTATTCCCTATTAACACACAATGCGAATGTCCAAAATAAAGGAAAAATGCAGAGAGAACTCAGATCCCAATGTGGGGCGAGTTCGCCCGGTAAGAACGGAAATCCTCCTAGGCATGAGGACTCTTCTGACCCTAAGCCGGTGACCGGAGACATGCCGGCGGGGAGAGCGAAAGGAGCCGGGGGTCCTAAGACGTCTCTTGCAGCGAGTATCTTGGGTGGATCTCCGGATTCTCCTCGACTGCCAGATACCGTTAACGGTTCTGGATTTTCGAATTTCACAAGGATACGTAACCAACGGGGGATCCCAACGTATTCCATGTCTCGGAAACCAACTAACACCCAGCACCATTTGAATCCAAGTAGGATTCATCGTATCCCACAACGCCTAAGTCTCCTTCTGACTCCAGGATGCTGCGGTGCTGCTGCCTATTTAGGTCGAGCCCCTGCCCGAGGGACTGCTCCCAATTCTCTGAAACCGGAACAGCCCGATACCCAGCATCATCTCAGCTTGGACAAGTCGGAGGAGCACACAGGTACGTTGGGATTCAAAGGGGATGGGATTGAATTCCTTCTGCGGCAAGGATTAGTTCCCTCCCACTTTATCCTCGTTAAATTCTCTTGGTTCCCATGGTGCTTGTCTTCTCCCCCCCTCTCTTCTGTGAACATGGGTGAACTGAATGATGATCATTCCTTGCAGCTTACCACCATGTCGCACGTTTCCAAAGATCAGATTGTTGCTTTTGCCCTGGAAGATATTCAGTCGGAGCGGGTGCTGCGTTCCCGAACTATTCTGGGTCGCCTTTTCTCGGAGAATAAGTTCACCATCGCGGAGCTTCGCGAAGCAGTGAACAACCCATGACAAGGCAGGGGGCGGATTAGAATCAGAGTGGTGGACCATGAGCTCTATGAGTTCGTGCTCACCTCAGAGACTGCGAAAGGATGGATCTTGAAGCAATCGCCATGGGTCATCAAAGATAGGATCATTCACCTACGACCCTGGACACCTACTATCAATAAACAGATTTTTGATGGTCTTGCCACTGCCCCTTTCAAAGTGCAGCTGTGGGGAGTGCTGGAGGATTGTTTCACAACACAATTCGGAAGAAAGGTTGCAGAGGCAACTATCGGCAGAGTTCTTGAAGTGGGCCTATTCTCATGTACGGACACAGCGAGAAACTTCATCAAAGTTCGAGTCGTGATTGACTTCTCCAAACCATTGAGATCCCAAATTCTGGCGGCCAATGATGAGACCGGATGCTTCTGGATCAATCTCAAATATGAGCACTTGCCAAGCTTCTGCTTCCACTGTGGAAGGGTGGGCCATGCTCGTCAAGAGTGCTCCTATGACCCTCCATCGGGCAAAGAAAGATTTGGCCCCCATATGGTTACAAAAAAGATGGGTCATAAGATCTTTGATGGAGAGGAGGATGTTCATAGGTACCCCCCCCGATCGGTGTGGATCAATAACGCCACCCGTGAGATGAGGGGCAGGCCGCCTTTGGGCAACACTCCGTCGACGGAGGCGGAGCATGGTGGACGAAGAACAGCGGAGAAGAATACCCCGAGGGCCAAGGAAAGGCAGCAGGCCAGACAAAGCCCCCGCTGGATGGGAACATCTACGGAACCTTTCTTGGCGATGGAACCTCAGGGAGGCCAGGGGCGATACCCAATCAGATTTCCAATGCCTAAAGCACCGAGGATTATTGTGGGGGGGTCTGGCCGAGTAGGAAGAAAGGAAAAGGAGCGGCGTGACAATCCCAACCTGAGGGAATTGGGGAGAAAGAATGGGAAGGATGTTAGGACTCGGAAGGTGCGGCGGGGACCGCGGCAAGAACAGAGAGGCAGGTATACAAGGAAAGACCAGTCGGCTGATGTGTCTCGTCCACCACAGGAGCCGGACCATCTGGATGCTGAGCTGGAAAGAGGTAGACGAAGAAGGATTATTCTCCAGGAGGAGTCGGAGGAGGAGTTTTTGGTGAGGGAGGTGCCCATGCCAACTTGTGAGGAGGGGGCGACTGGCCCAGGGCAGGGAAAACAAGGGTCGGGCCAAAAGCTGGGGGGCCGACGTAACTTGAAGCCGAGAGGGGAAAAGCTTCCTGCCCAGTCCATTCCTGCTGGGACGGCGGAGGCGGAAACTGACCAGCCGAGCCAGCCTATGCCCGGCGAGCAGAATCCCAGGCCGAAACAGAGCATGGTCATTGATGCTATGCCCCTGCGGATGATTGTTCCCTCTCAGAGCCCGTCCACTGCCGAGGACATGTTATCGGACACGGGGATGGCTCGGGCGACCCTCAAGCAAAGTGCCCCGGCAGAGAATTCAGGCAATCTGGCTGGGCGGGCTCCCTCCAAGGACTGGGCGGCCACTGGGGATTCGGAGGGGACGGTTTCGGAGGAGGATATTCACCTCTTCGAACTCAAGCGGAGACCAACTGCGAAAAAGTACCATGTGCGGCGTCAAGCCGGGAAAGTTCGGCAGGTGGTCCAGGCTTTTGAGAAAGGGTTGTCTATGGGAGCAGGAGGGCAGCAGGAAGAAATGGCCGAAAAATCAGAGCAGTTTGGCCTCAATGAGTATGGATCAAATCTTTTGAGCCCATCAGGAGGGGGGGGAGAAGCGTACTTTTGATGCAATTGCGAGTACTGCAGAAGATGCTCCGACCCCGAAAAAACAATTTGTGGAAGAAAATGATGAGCAGGAAATGGTGGAGGAAGCCAGCCGGAAATGGCCCCAATCCGATAAATGAGGCTTCTGGCCTGGAATGTGAGAGGAATTGGGCCATCCCTCACATTCCAAACTGCTTTCGGTTTAGTTCGTTCTAATAAACCGGATCTCGTGTTTTTTTCTGAAACGCGATCGAGCCGGAAAGTAGTCTCCCGCCGTATGCGCGGTTTAGGTTTTGATCTTTCTTGCTGTTTTTTTGTGGATGCGATTGACGCATCTGGTGGTTTAGTTGTAGCCTGGTCCCCCGAGGTGACTGCCTCGGTGTTTTTCCATTCCAATTTCTGTATTTGCACCGAAATTAATGAGAATGATTTTTCTTATGTGGTGGTTTCTGTTTATATTAG